AATGCCATTGTGTCGAGGACTATCCGCTGGAGGAGGCACACTGAAGGGTCGAACATTCCCCCACCATCCACACAACACGTGTCCGCTGCTCATTTAGCGTGCACTTTATGTTTATAAAATTAATTTATTGAATTTTTGGGGCAATTGAAGGTACTGGACTGTTAGCGGGGGGTGGGTGGGTAGCGGTTTAGGTGTCCAAAATTTTCTCAGCAATTCCGTACGGTTCTATAACGAAATATAACCCGTTTTGATAACAATCTGAAGCTTTTTAGACATAAAAGTCACATAAAATGTTCGAAAATGTTTGATTTTGGGCAAATATATCCAAATCATCAATTTTGAGGGTTTTTGAGTTTCTAAAAATGTTTTTATGCCTTTTCGTATTCAGATACTACAATGCGCGAAAAATTCCGTCAGATATCTTAGATACCTCCCCCCCGTTAATAGTCCAGAACCAATATAGTTTTCGGGCTATTTTGTGCGCTAAGTCAAATATAAAATTTAACTGTACAAGCTACAAGCTACAAACTACAAGCACACGAATTCGTCAAAACTTGCAAAATGGTTTCTGGGATAGTTTTATCCGGGGTTTTGGACGTTTTCCGAGTCTATTTACCGCTCTATCCTAATAGCGGGGACCATAGAAATTATCGTGGACCATAGAAAATATCGGGGACCATAGAAAATATCGTGGACCATAGAAATTATCGTGGACCATAAAAATTATCGGGGACCATACGAAATATCGTGGACCGATCGCGAATATCGGGGACTTTAAAATTGGCCATTTAGGCCAAAATTTCGGCTGATCAATATCGTGGACTTTAAAATTTGGACTCCAGCCGGGCTATGGTCCCACGGGGTCTCAGAGCGCGCACGGAGGGTGGGGAGGGGCGTGGCCGAGTGGTCTAAGGCGGCGGTCACAGGCCACAGGGAAGGGGTGCTGGTTCGATACCTCTGACCCCCCGCACCGTCAGAGCGTTTTTGCTCTTTTTGCAAAAAGTGGTTGAAGATGCCAGCAACCCCTCTATAGTGTACCCAATGCCGAAAAATCAAAAACTATATCGTTCCTGAGTCAGAAACAAGGAAATCGTGAATAGTGGTGCTGGAGTACTCATTTAAGTCACATAGATATTAAAAAAGAGCTGAATATATAGACAGATAATCAAACAAAGTCGATTCAAGCCAAATAGTTCAGTACTACTCCAGAATTCAAAATTGCTCAAAATGGATGGGCCTCAATCTCGTCCATTACAGCCCCCAACCCCGAAAAGCAAGCAATTGATCATTGGCAAGTCTAAGGCGATTCAAATATACGAAAAAGGATGCCAGAAAATGGCTATATTCAAAGAAAAGCGCTGCACAAAGGGGTGAATTTTCGGTCTTCTGCTCGCTTAAAAGTTTTGAACTCCTTATTTTGATTCAGATTTGCTCCGAGCTCTTTTGGAAAATGTGCCTTAGGGTCTGTTCTATCATATGCGAAAAGCCGGCTCGACCGTTTTTTCTAGAAAAAGTTATCGCATTTAGAAAGTACGAAAATTTGTCGCTTTTTGCCCCTTTTGTTAAGGCCTTTTGCGGGTCTCAGGGTTCGCTGTGCGCGCAGCCGGTCCACCCGTCCCGTGGAGTGCCCCGTCCTCGTGCGCGCCCTCCTGAATAGTCGGGACCCCGTGGTCCACGATATTGACCGATAGAAAAACCGCGGAAAACGTGAAAAAACGTCAACAACAGCATAAAAGTTGAGTAAAATACATCAATCTCTCAATGTCTTATCGTAATTTTTGTTTGTTTACAAATTTATGATTATTATTAACACTACATGTTTTTAAAAGGCCGTTTTCCAGAGACCCGAACAAGACACCACTATTTCGACGTTAACGGAGAAGCGAATTCGATTGAAAAAAGAGCAAAACTAATTACGCGAACCCGAGTCCGGAGGGGAGTCGAACCCGCGATGGTACGCCTGGTGGGCACTGGGGACAGACTCTAGAGGGTGCCACCACCTCCCATGCGAACGACCCGAGTTCAATCCCGGCCCCCTTTTAGAAACCGAATTTCTTTTTGCGCCTTTCTGCAATCGTTCTGTTTATCTCTAGATACGAAACACTGTCTTTCTTCTCCTAAATACGCACTTTTTATGTCTTTAAAAGCCATTTTTCGATTTAATGGGTATCTATCGCCACATTGAAACATATATGATTCGACGTAGAATTTAATTGCGCATCTTTAAGAGTATTTGAAGAGTGGCGACGCCAACCCATAAATAGAAAATTGCGAAAAACGTTACTACGTACGCGGTTTTTCTATCGGTCAATATCGTGGACCATAGCGCGGCTGGAGTCCAAATTTTAAAGTCCACGATATTGATCAGCCGAAATTTTGGCCTAAATGGCCAATTTTAAAGTCCCCGATATTCGCGATCGGTCCACGATATTTCGTATGGTCCCCGATAATTTTTATGGTCCACGATAATTTCTATGGTCCACGATATTTTCTATGGTCCCCGATATTTTCTATGGTCCACGATAATTTCTATGGTCCCCGCTATTAGGATAGAGCCCTATTTACGCCTCTATGCAGACGCACAAAAATAGCCGCCCAGCAGCCACCAGTCAAATGCGTCCCACTGCGCACTTTTCCCCGCCAAAAAAAAAACCCCGACTCCAGCCCGACCACGCTCAATCACCAATAATGGTCGTCAAAAGAAGGGAGGAGGGCGAACACACAGGCAGATCTGATATGCCGAGAGGTTGGCCGAGGATGGGGCGCTTTTAGTGGGAGGAGCACAAGCTCAGAAGGCCTCTAGGGGCCAACCCATCACAGGGCCATCCAATGCCGCCTCGTCCTCCGCCAGCCCGCACCACACCGCATAGCCCACCCTTCTCGGACATCCTTTGACATTTCACATTCCCGGATATGGCCATTGCAGGGCCAATGATTTCACTATGGGCTTTGTCATGTGATTCGAAATTTCGGCATTGTGTAATTTCGTGTGGCGACGCTTCGGGTCAAGCCGCGTGCACGCTGCTTGTCGCTGGCTCAGCAGAATTTTTTAAATCATTTTTTCTGACTGGTTTTTATTTATTCTAAACATACCCTTTTTTTCTTACTAGTTGAGCGCCAACGACAAAAAATCCTTACGACTACAAAAATCGGCTAAATACGGTCATATTCCGTAATTTGGATGCACGCGTAGCCAGGCTGGCGTAAATTAAAATTTGATCAAAACGAAAAGCTTTTTCTTTTCTCCTCCCTTCTCTTGGCAACCCGTATTTAACGCCCTTTCGCGCCCCTTCACGCCCTCCTGTAAATAACGCCCCCTGTATTTCGCGCCCCCTGTATTTAACGCTCTCCTGTAAATAACGCCCTGCAAAACGAGCTTTTTCCTGTAAATAACGCCCTTTTCGTGGTCATTTGGAGGGCGTTAAATACAGAAGGGCGTTAAATACAGGGGGCGTTATTTACAGGGGGCGCGAAATACAGGAGGGCGCGAAAGGGCGTGAAGGGGCGTTAAATACGGGTTGCCCCTTCTCTTCAACCCATAGAAAAGGATCGATCATCTCTTTTGGTCGGAAATATTGCTAATTGCTCCGTTCTATTCTTCCCCCTATCGATGTAGACCCATTCATGCATACGCAAAGTTATGACCCTCATCCCCCTTTTTGCAGCGCCGATTCGTCTTGACGTCTTCTGCCGGGCCAGAACGCCCTGAAAGTGACGTTAAAAAACGTGGTACTATTGAAGTTGGGGGGGCAAAATTTTTTTAGGTCATTTTTGGGCTAATTAGTCAGTTTTTCTCTGGCTTAGGCTTAGCTTAGCTTAGTATTGGCTTGGCTTAGGCTTTAGCTTAGGCTTAAGCTGAACTTAGGCTAGGCTTAGAACTAGTTTAACCTAGGCTTAGGCCTATGCTTAGCCTAAGCCTTAGTATCTGGTCCTTAGCTTGGCTTCGTCACAGCATCACTGCTTTTGGCTTCGACTTAGCTTTGTTCAAGCTCAATTTAACTGTGCTTCGGCTTAGCTTAGCTTAGGAGATGAGTATTGCGCTGGATTAGCCACGAAAAACTGATCAACTAGCCTAAAATTACCTAAAAAAAATTTTGCCCCCCCCCCCCAACTTCAATAGTACCAAAAACGCTGTTAAAAGCTGTAAATAACGCAGCGTACTCAAATCAGTTCTCGCATTAACCCGCCAGTCGCTCCTCAGCGCGCACATCTTTTTCCCTTATTGACTTCCGGCCCGCTGGGGCCCCAACCTAACCAAATTTATTGGGCGCCCAGCCTAGATTCCCCTCGGCTTCACGCCACAATTTGCCCTTTTTCGCTATTAAAATAAGGGGTGGGGGCGCTGATCATCCCTCTATTTGGCTCGGGGCGCTTCTTTTCAGTGAAATCCGAGCTTCCAGGGGCTCCCCGGAAATCTCAATGTTGATTGCCGATCTTGGGCGTCGTTTTTCGTGATTTTCCACATTTCACGCGGCGAAAGTAGTTTTTGGTAAACGAGTTAATTTTTCTATAGATATGCCATGTGCAAAATAGTATTTTGCCAATGTTGCCCCACAAACCGACATATACTTCTTCTAGACGTTTTTCGGCAAGCCACAACTGCTGCCCCGGGGGCAATGGGCTCGTGCTCTAATCCCTTGGCGGCCACAAGTTGATTCTCCTCTCTTATTTACCCCTTACTGCCCGCTTTTCCTCCTCAAAGAGCTTCTCCAATTCTAAACTATCTCTTTTAAGCCCAGACGGCTTGAGCGATTGTCTTAATAGTTGCCGGCTGTTCCTTGAAGGTCGCCGATTTTTCTCTGAATTTTTGTTGTCTGTTTGCTTGCTATTCTAACAAAATACATATCATAATTTTAGAGACGTGACGCTCAACGGTGAACTCAAGTTCCAGTAATTCGGTTCGTTTTGTTGGATTTTTGGCGGTGTGGTGCATGGATGAGTTGTATGCTTTATGTACGTCTAGGTGTTGTGGTGCACGTTTGCTTCTTTGAGCTGCCAAAATGGGAACACAGCTCGACTATCGTCAAAGGCTTAACTTTGTCCCGGACATTGTTAAAGTTCGTTTTTGTGTGAAGTTATGTGTTTATTTTTAGCTAGATCGTTTTGCCAGAAGGAGACTGATTTTTAGATGTCTGATGCGGCTGTCCAGTCGTCGCCGATTCCGGGCGTCCTTGGACAAGCCTGGATCGATCAGGTTTGGCTGTTTTGTTGAACCATTTTTTTAAAATATTTTTAGGTTGAGAAGGAATTCGACAAAGCATTCGTGTCGCTCGATATCCTGCTCGGCGAGGTCGATTCAGATCAGGTGAATATTTAGCTAGGTTGCTATGGGTTCGCACCGCTTGTGACGTCGTGACCACTTGCACATGGGAATTTGTTCGAAAATCATAGGTTGAGATCACGTACGAGGGACGCCAGAAGATGACGGCCCTATCCTCGTGCTTCGCGCAGCTTCTCCACAAAACGCAAACGTTGCACCACGCCCTTTCCCGCGTTCAGAATGAGGTCCGTTCCCTTTTAGCTACATGAACTCGTGCTCAGAGCAACAACCTTCGCGATGATTTGGTGTCGGCGAGGACTGTGAGCGCGGAGCGGCACAAGGAGTCGCAGCAGTTGCTTGTTCAGGTAATTCAATTTAATTTTTTTGAATTAATTCGTTTTAGGTGCATAGCCTCCAATGTGAGCTGCACTCCAAGACGGCGCCGCACGAGTCGGATATGATCAAAAAGAAGCTGGTACCAGTATGGGAACAATACAAGTGATACAGATGTTTAGGATCTTGAGATCAACGCTTTCCGTGATGAGGTGATCCCATCGTTGAAACTGGAATATGAGGTTTAGTTTTTATGCTTCTAGCAGCTTCCATTTAGGTGCAACAATTGCAACGCGAATCCGATCGGCATAAGCGTTTGATTGCTGCTCTGGAGAGCGAGGTGTTTGGTGCGCGGCTGGCGGCGAAATACCTTGACAAGGTTTTATTGTTGTGCGGATTGATATGCCTTTTAGGAATTGGCTGGCAGGATCCAGCAGATCCAGCTTCTTGGCCGGAACATGCGGGGAGTCGAGCACGACCGGTTGTGGAATCAGCTGGAGGCCGAAATCCACCTTCATCGTCATAAGACAGTCATCAGGGCTTGTCGGTTTGTATTTTTGCTTCCTTCGCATTATCGGGAGCATGATATTTCTCTAGAACCCGATCCTAATATAAATAAAGGGGGTACGATCCTTACTTAAAATCATTACTTCTAAAAACATTACTTCTAAAATTTGGTATGCCGGATTACCAGTTTTCGGCATATTTATGCCCAAAAATACGCTTAGAATTTTAGAAGTAACGACTTTTAGAAGTAATGACTTTTAGAAGTAATGACTTTTAGAAGTAATGACTTTTAGAAGTAATGATTTTGGAAGTAATGACTTTTAGAAGTAATGACTTTTAGAAGTAATGATTTTGGAAGTAATGACTTTTAGAAGTAATGATGGGTAGCCAAATAAAGGATATGTCGTACGTAAAAATTTTCTTTTTGCTTAAAAAACAAAAGTAACGGTTTTGGGAGCAGAATTCTACGGGTTATAAATTTTCTGTATAGTTTTGACGCTCGAAATACAACTAAGTTTCCTGTAGATGCGATCCAGATATGATATATGAATGGTTTTACTCAACCGGTAGGGTAAAGAAAAAAGTGCAAAATGAGGAAAAACAGAGATATTGATATAGAATCTAAGAGACTTCCCATGATGCTAAAAACCGTATTTTTATTGAGAATAGGGCCTTTGTTTCAACAAACTAGCAGATAACGATAATTTTTAGTGGCCGTGGACAAACGAAGGGCTTGGCTTGTCCGGAATACGGCTTGGGATCGGACGCGTAAGCGGAAGGGCGTGCACGAGACAAGGCGGGTGGCTCTTGCCAAGCAACCCCACGAGGGCCTCGGAATCTCCATCACCGGCGGCTCCGAACATGCTCTTCCAATCGTTATTTCGGAGATCCAACCCGGACAGCCAGCCGACCGGCAAGCTTTAATTTGATAATACTAACTTCTTTTTAGGTGCGGCAACGTGTTCGTGGGCGATGCCATTCTATCAGTCAACGGCATCGATTTGCGGACCGTGAAGCATCAAGAAGCCGTCGAGATCTTGTCCACTCAGGTTTGAGATCTCACAAGACCATTATTTTTTTAATTTCCAGCAAGGCGACCTGGAGCTGGAATTGGTGTTTGTTTCGCCGGATGAGGACTCGGATGACGATGGCACGGTGATGATCGAAGATGCTGATGGGACGCTGTGAGTTTACTTTTCATATTGCTGGCTTTTATGGTTATTCACTTCATTATGTCGCTTTTTATACAACTGTTACGAATCAAATTTCCTAAAAATTATAAAATTTTGAAAAAATTTTTGCGTAAATTGTCAAAAATGTCGGTTTTTAAAGAAGACGTGAACAACTGCTACAAACTATAAAAATACGCTATAAAACGTTTTATAAAAAAGGCTGAGAATGTATCGGCTAGATAGATGCCCCGCTAACGACCCAGTGCCGCTTTATGACGAGGCTCATTTTCGAAACTTTTGTAGAAAGTCTCTTTTAGATTCAACATGTACAACAACAACAATCTGAACAGCGTGGCGACGGGCAGCACCGGGGCGGCCAGCAGCGAGCCCCAGTCGAGCTCAAGGTCTTCGACGTCTTCTCGACCAAATTCTGGAGGCCTCTGAATTCCGGCAATCAAAATGCATCAAGTTATCGTCCCTCACCCTCGGCTAATCACTGTTGTTCCTTTTAAGATATTTATGGAGAATTACGGTTATCTTTCCTTGGCACCGGTCACTCAATAATATTTCCTTTTCCCGTTCGTCATTTTCGATCTCTGTGAATGAGATGTTTTTTTGGTTCGTTTTGTACTCGAGATTTTATACCTGTATTGTCTACAATGTCTGTAGTGCCCTTTGTCCAAATGCCTTGCTGCTCCGCTCGCTCCCTCTGATAGGCGGTTTTTAGTAGAGATTCTAGCGTTGCTTCTGCTCACGTTTTTCCTTGTGTGTACATTAATTTGCCGAATAATAAACCGAAATGGCGTAGAACGTAATATTTAGCTGGAATTTTGTAGGCACCCAGTTGCGTTATCGATATTCCTTTAATCCATTCGGCGTTCAACAAAAATTTATCGCACTTACTCAAAAACTCAATCCAGGTTGTTGATTTGGGCACATGCGTTGCTGAAATGCTTTTCGCATTAAAGCGATAACAACGGCATAAGTAATCGGTGACGCGAGGGAAAGAAAATGTCTCTGCGTCTCGCTCTTGCGCGCGTTCTTTGCCCTGTTGGCTACGTGCCAAAAAGTCGACCGATCGACCGCAGTCGTCGGTATCCCTTTAAATTGATATGATTTCGAATCCTAAATCTCGAGAATTCCCTCACCATCATGTTCGATTCCGGGCTGCAACTGTAGACAAGCCTGAAATCCTCGATCAGCGATAGCGGGTTGTTGGTTCGAACATAAGCCGCGGAGTGGATATCACCTCTATGAGAAACGGACGATGGTAATTTGAACCGAATAATTATCCCCTACAGCTCTTGTTGGGCATCAAAGAACCAATTGCACCAAACAGTGGCATAGGCAGTGAAAAATGACGTGATGTTCGGCTTAAAATTGGGTCAAGCTTTAGTCAACAATTTTTAACCTGTTCGGTAACCCGTTTGTACATCTCCAGGGCTGTGTAGAGCCCAAAGATATCGGCAAAGTCCTCGTCGAACGTATCTTCCCCGCTTTCACATGGGGCCTACAGGAAAGCAGGCTAGTATTCATCCCTTGAAAATCCGACATACTTCTTGAAAACGGGCACACGTCGCTTGAGAGGCATTTTTCACGCATTCCGCCGGAAACGACTTGACGAGCTCGGCCTTTAGCGATTCCGTGTGCATGATCTCGTGCGAGAGAATGTAGCCGAGCGATGCGTACTGTAATTCAAAGTATTATTATTGAAAAACCTGACCATATGGGCCGGATTCTCCGACGTCAATGCTGGGATGAACGTCGAGGGGAAGACGACAACATGGCCTTCATCGTTTATCGCTCCCCATTCCAGCGCTTCTTTTATGATTGTTCTAAACTCCGTCGAAAATCAGCTACGGAACTTACCTTTGGACATATGTGGCCTCCGCATGAACCGGGCCAACCACTTTTCGAATGACATCCGGCAGGAGAGCCACCATCTCCTGGTAGTTGTCTACCGTGATTGAGGAATAGGTTCTAAGTTGATAAAAAAAGTATAGAAGATATCTACTAACTTATCAAGCTGTTGAAAATTCGATACGATCTTGGACAGCATCTCCTCGTAGCTTCGCACATCATCATCGATGATCGCCGCGTGAATTGGAGTGGCTAACAAGGCCTATCTATCCTTTCAATACTCTCTACCCTTCAATTTTGCTGGAATGTCGGCCAAGAATTGTTTAATTCGCACGAATGTCGACGCGTATCTCAGTGCACCACGATAGATGGCGACTGTATCTATTAGCTGGCCCGCAAAGTCGAGCAGTTTCTGAACGTTTTAAAAGGCCGTTTGCGGGAGGACCGAAAAGGTTCACGGTTTTTCGACCCTGTTTTTTTTGACGCCATCGGATGGAGCATAATCGAATTAGTGGGGCCATATAGTTTTGAAAGTTTAAAAAGTTGATTTTTGGGGTTTAAAGGGCCGCTAAAGTTGCCGACATGGAAAATCTACTCGTAAATTTCCGGACCAAATTGCTGAAATTTGACAATACTTAATTTTGGATGGAGATCATTTCTCTAATACATTTCCAAACCTGATAATGGCTGGAACATAGGAATCTTGCGTACTAAAAACAGTTTTTTAAGATTTTCTACTTAATGGGAAAGCGGCGGCATCCTGAAAGTAGCATAGAAACTTGCGCCAATTTTTTCTACGTCGAATGACGTGTCTTTCAGGAGGCCGCCGTTTTCCCATCATCTGTAAAAACCGCATTTTCTTGATGAAAAAGAGAAAAATATCCAGATTTGCAAACGGGGAGTTACCCACTTGCTTCTAGAAGCGCAGCCAAGTCAATTGCAAAAAAGAGCAAAAAGAAATTCGATTTCTAGAAGGGGGCTGGGATTGAACTCGGGTCGTTCGCCTGGGAAGCGGCGGCGCCCTCTAGCCTCTGTCCCCAGAGCCCCGCAGGCGGACCATCGCGGGTTCGATTCCCCTCGGTACTCAACTTCGCGTAGATGAGGAATTTCATTTTGTTCTTTTTTGATAATGGGTGGCATTGATCTCTAGATGCTTTCCGCAATCTTTTATATTTCTCATTAGCAGCCCCCGATCTTCTAAGGCTACTTTGTTGAATCCAGAGATCACGACTTTTCTAGATGATGGGAAAACGGCGGCATCCTAAAAGACACATCATTCGACGTAGAAAAAATTGGCGCATCTTTCTATGCTACTTTCAGGATGCCGCCGCTTTCCCATTAAGTAGAAAATCTTAAAAAACTATTTTTAGTACGCGAGATTCCTATGTTCCAGCCGTTTTCAGGTTTCGAAATGTATTAGAGAAATGATCTCGATCCAAAATTAGGTATTTTCACAAATTTTCTGCAAATTTGGTCTAGTAATTTTCGAGATAGATTTTCGATGTCGGCAACTTTAACGGCCATTTAAACCCCAAAAATCAACTTTTTAAACTTTCAAAACTATGCCACCCTACTAATTCGGCCACGCTCTTTCAGATGGCATCATAAAAATAGGGTCGAAAAAAACTGTGCCAAGCCATAATGGGGACTGTTCGGGTGGCTGGCGGACGGCCTTTTAAAGATGTGCTGCAGTGCCGCCCAATCCACCTGGACCGGCTTGAACTTCATGCGACTCCCGTACTGCAGCTGGACCATACTGAGTAGCATCTAGGTGAAATTGTAAGCTCTAAAATAAAAATGCCAATGTTTTGGTGTGATCTGCTTCTAGGATCTGGGTCCTATTAGCGGAGAGCCACGCTTTTACGACATTCCGGGCCGACTCGGAGATGACCATCTCTTTGTTAACGTCTCTAGGGCAGACCTAATCAAGTACGATCCATCATATTACCGGATGGTACTTACATGCCGATAGAAATTGTCGCAGGGCCGAATCGAGGAGCTCGCCGCTTGTTTTTCATACGTGTAAAACCAATTGGCCTTCAGGTCCTCGAACCCATAGGCCACCGAGCTAATAAACAAATAAAAGAAAAACTACCACAAACCCTAGCGCCACTAGAAGGGCATTAAAGAACCACATCCCCCAAAATGGCGTGTTGTAGAAACGGAGATGTGATTTTATTAGTTCATTTCAAAGCGACTCCCACAAGACATAAATCATCTATGAACAACCGAGAGAACTCCTTTGAGCAGTGCCGACAAAAAAAAGATCAAGAAAAGAATACCTATTGAAAGCTAACTAGAAATTCCAAATTCTATCAAAAAAATAATACAAGCGTACATCAATCAACCAGTAAAGCCGGCCGTGTTCTCGCGAGACTGGGCCTCCTTCATTATTTCGGTGGCCTTGTCCAAGAATTCCTTAGCTTTGTCTTCATTTTTTTCGATCCCGTCACCGATTTTATACATTCTAGAAATAGTATTTTTGTACCAGCAAGAAATTGGAAACCTTGCAACATTGGCGCAGCTGTGAGGGATCATCTGTTCACATGCCTTGATGCCATAGTAAAGAGATTTGTTCATGTCGCGTACGAGTGTGCCCAAGTCTGTTTTATCGGCATCCTAAAGAAGACATAAAACTTAGGCTCTGCAATATAACCTTTCCCTTTCTCGCATTCAGAAATTTTTGCTCACGGCCCATATACCAGGTTGAGAGCAGCCAGCAAGCCTCACCATCCTCCAATTCGCAAGCTCTAAAAATGAATAATTGGCCAATCCATGAACCTACTTGGCCATGTATTTCTCAGCCAGTTTGCTATTGGCTGGGCGATCCTTCTCGCCATTCCAGTGGACAAGTGAAAGAAACCTAACAAAGAAATGACGACAAAATCAAACACGTACCGGCATCCCCGGCTAATGTTCGCATCGCAAGATATTTCTAGCGGCTTAATCATCTTCTTTAAGCCGGGCTCGCACTCTATTCCGAATTTAAGACCCCCAAATTGGCGAACCTTTGCCGGAAAGTAGATACATGGCGTACTTGAAGCAACTTTTGGGGTACTTTCTTGTCTCGCAATTTTCTTTGTATAGCGTGAGGGCGGCCTAAAGTATGTAAACCCTCATGAATTAATGAAAGTTATTACCTTGAAATTTGAGTCAATGGCCTCCATATATTCAGCTAATAGCTGACAGGATTCCGGCCGCTTCTCCTGATCCGTTCCGGTTAATAGATAGGACAGTTCGCGTACCTCATAACATCCATATCGGTACTCAATGCCGATATTTTTAACATATTCCTTCCTTTCCTCTTGCTCGCGTTCGACTTCCTCTTTCGAAACCGACATAGATCTGTGAATATTGTATGGTATATGCATTTGTCCGTGTCCGTTTAAAATAGTAAATAATTAATGCCGCGAGAGCCAAAACGTATTTGTGCTGCACAAGATCCACCGTCGGAAAGTTTATATAACAAAAACAAATAACCCATGGGGAGGAATAAAACTTTAACTCATGCATGGGAGAAATCGAAGCGAAGCGAACAGGGTGTCAACACGATCCAACCAGAAAAGTAAAAGTAAACGCCGTCGATTCCTTCAACCAATACATACGCGTAAATCGTAGAATGTATACGTAAGATTTTTTGGGGAATTACACCAACAATTTAAGCGATCCGAAACGTTTATAAATGTAAAGGTTCGGGAGAGTTCGAGATCTAAACTATTGACGATTAAAGGGGGGAGGGGATGAAGGTTAACGAATAGAGCGGGTGATAAATTAGAGGAGATGGCGAAGGCGTCGGGACCTCACTGGTTTTCGCCGCGATAGTAGCCACTAAAATCGAGATTTTATTGGAAATTGATGATATACCCGTGTTGATATTGTGGGTTCTGGTAGTACTGGTTGTAGTACTGCTGATAGTATTGCTGGTTGTAGCCACCGGCAGCCCCAGTTCCGAGTCCAGCCGGGGCCGTTTGGGTTTGGTTGTAGGCTCCGGCCGATCCGTAACCATATCCATAACCACCGGGGCCAGGCTGCGCGGGGCCACTTCCACGTCCAGCGCCACCACCGGCCTGCTAAGAAACAGTTATAGAAAATAACCAAAGGTCTAACATCGGTCTTTCCCCAACTGCATCGCACCACTTGTCCGCACATTTCCTTGCCGCTCATTTCGCAGATTGCACGACAAGCAGACTCCTTGCTGTGGAAGCGCACGAAGGAGTATCCCTAAGAAAAAAAGATGATGTCTAATAAAATCAAAACACAACCTGTGCTTTGAAAAGGCGAATCTCATCAATTGAGCCGAATTGTTGGAAGTTGGCTCGGATATCCTCCTCTGTAAGAAAATAAATGTCATCAGGAAAAAATCTTCTTACCGCTGACACCTTGCGCGACACCCCCAATGTAGACAGACATGTTCTCGGCAGTCGTTTGATTGAAGACGTCGTCATAGTTCAACTAAACGAACATTAGAAACCCTAAAAAAACACTTACAGCTCCCCTTCCGCGGTATCCACCACCACCGCCTCCGCCACCACCACCACCGTGGTGTCCTCCTGCTTCACCCCCAAAGCCCTCATTAGGCTTTCTGGTGGCCCAGTTGGTCCGGATTGTGCGCCGGCCGATCCACTGTCCATTCATTTGTTCGATGGCACGTTCAGCGTCCTATAAACACGACGGTCTAAGGAAACAAAATAATTGATTACCTCTCTCTTGGGATAAGAAACAAAACCATAACCCTTCGATTTGAGCGTAGATGGGTCTCGGATGACCTTTACATCTCTAGAAAACAAAGATTATCGAAAAGATAAAATTCCTTACGAGACTTCTCCAAACGGGATGAAAGCTTCTTTCAGCACTTTGTTGTCGATTTCAGGGCTGAGATCGCCGACAAATACGTGGAAGTGCCTGCTTGTGTCAACCTTGACCTGTTGCTGTCCGGGTTCAGTAGCCCAGTTGACCTTTAGTTCCTAAAACAAGAAAAATATAGGCTGCTTTGAAAGACAGTATGCTTACCCTCTCTAGGAGAACCCTTCGATTCATCACGCCCAAGGCGTTTGCGGCCTCATTGTGTTCGGTGAACTCGATGAAAGCATAGGGGTCGCTGTGCGGCTGAAAACAGAACATGTCCATAGATCTGAAGAGACGACTGGGCGCCCTGCCATCTAGGCCGTCCTATCCAAACTTGAGTAGCGCGTCCCCCACTAACAATTTGTTTTAGGCGCGCTAGTGTTAATGCTGCGTTGAAAAATCAAAAAAAGTATGAGCAAAATTACTCGGACAATGGCGATTTCGGAGAGGTGCCTGAGGGTGGTAGGCGGCTCGTGTCCACGACAATCTAGAGAATGCGGGGATGTGCTACGGTCAAAATAAAAAGAGCAAAAAAAATCGTCGCCGCCGGAAAAGAAAGTGTTACCGCGCAACCCATCCTGAAAGGGGGTAGGGGAAACAAACCAAAAACTTCCATCATATACAACTTTGGCCTTGGTCACCACGCCAACCTGGCCGAACAGTGTGGAGAGGAATTCTTCCGTGATGCTGGGATCCAGGTTACCAACATAGCTAAAGAGAAGTTGAGTTTTTATGAGAAACTTACAGAGTTCGTGGCATTTCATCGCCCGACCCGAGATGGAAACCAGCATTTTGAGCGACCGTGTAGTGGGTGCGGGGGTTGTAGGCACCGACCTCCTCATAGCCGTATCCGTAATATCCCGACATAGTGAAGGGATAAAACCTTGAAATTGAAGAAATAAGGGGGTCCTAGAAAACAGAAGAAAGTGGAAAATAAAAAGAAAATGAAGGAGTACGTGGTGATCCATGGATAACCAACAGGTCAAAGAAGTTCAAGATAAGAAGCGATAAGGTATCGAAAACAATCGACACTAATGTTGGCGGCCTTTTCAAGCGAGGCTATTCGAAAACAAGCGGGGAGGTCATGTTCAAACTGCTCTAAAGGTAGCAGCATCTATTAATGAGTTTATTAATATACGTTTATCTATATAAAGTCACGGAAATTATCCTAAACGCGCGTTGACAAAAGATAGAGCGATTACAAATTCTAGCGCCCGGGCTCGAGAAGGCGCGTTGCGTGCTGAACTGGCGTGTCGCAGGCTAAAACACATCCTCCGTCATTTGGCGCGTCGCGTGCGCGGGGGTGCGGCTAAATAAAAGAATGTGTTCAAGCAAACTCAAATTCCAACTCTTTTGAATTACATTTTTGCTGATTCGTTTTAATTTGTCATCTTTTCCTTTTGTCGGCAAGCTCGCGCGCTTTCTAATCGTACCCTTGTACCCCATGCTTCTTTAGAAGTTGCCGCGTTATTTCGGGTTTATAAATTTTGAAAATGTTTTTTTTTTGCTTTCCCACTTTGCGATGGCAACTTATAGCAGAAAAAATTCGTGGACAGCAAACGCTTGACAACATACTGCTGGTTTCACCATTTTGAACAGGGACGGTCTTTCTATTGAGATTCAGACACTTCGTTTTTCTTCATTCAATGCTTCATCATTTTTTGTGACTAACTCATTGAAAATCTTCTTTCAGGATGTCTCCTCCAGCAGAGATGCGACAGATGATGCACACCTATGGCCGACGCGCCATTTGGGTTTCAATGGCGGCCGGAATCGCTTCAACCGCCCTCTTCTACTTCGGATATGTTCACCGTCGTCACGAGAAATACGAGAATTTCTTCAAGTATGCTTTTTTATTTTCTCGCTTTACTAGAAGGGAATTCTTCACTGCTCATAGGTGATTGACAGTGAAATATAGTTTTTGTTTGTAGCGCCTCAGCGTTTGCCGTCTGGTTTTCTGCAAACATTGTTCTTTTTCAGGAACTACGACCCGTACACCCGGATGAGGGAGATCTGCGCCGCAAACAAGGGTTACATGCACACCTGCCCGCAAGAGCTTGCCAAGCTCTATGAGGTATTTTGAAAACCTACGTCTTGAATTATTTGCCTTTTTTTAGGAGAAGGGCAAGCCGATCGCCGACCTGTAAACCGATATCGTCTAGTGTTTTAGCTCTATTATGTACATTTTCTTGCTCCGGACTCATCTTTGGGTAGACAATTGCTAATGATTGTTTGTTTATGTCTTACTGGAACCATCGTGAAATAAAATTTTAGGTATTCTTTGGAAAGCTTTCTACAACAGGGTGGGGGTAAACAAATCGACAAACAAAATATTGGACATACAGAGCAACCAGGTGGAGCATGCTGCCGCGCCTTTGTTTTCGGGGGGATAGCTTGACATTGATTAGGCTCGTTTCTCTCGTCCTTCTCCTCTTTCGTTGGGATAGCCCGTGATTGTGGGGATTGCTCAACCTCTGGGCCCCAACGTGAGTCATTGAACCTCGATGAAATTCCTCCTATTAATTTGCGCGCTATTGTCGCTTTCCACTGGCGATAAAATTCAGAAAAGAGGTTTGTCCTTTTATTTTTAGGGTATTTTGTCTAGATTTCGAAGACATTCAGCCCGTAGAGCACATCAAGCCGGTAAAAGGTAACCGCCAGAGTGCTCTGTTCAACATGTTCAGATGGTTACTTGGTACTGCCTGATCCACAGCTAGGTGATGCGCCAGAAGAAACTGACGAAAAGCCAAAATGTATCCCAAAATCAGGTATATTGCTAGAGTTGCGGAATTATTTTTGTGTAGAAGCCGGGGCTGCGTTCCAAGGCGGAATCAATGCCGAATATGATGTGGACCGCTTTGATGAAGAGGAATTTCACGCAAGAAAAATCATTCCAGGTATCGGAAACCCAAAACACTATCCTTCCCACCCCGTTAGAAACGCAACCCTTCAACGACACCAACGAGTACAACATCACGGACGTGAACGAGCGAGTCGAGCTAAAAATTGTAAAGCCTCTGTGCGATGACTAGCTGGATGAATAGATAAATATGACATTGCATTGTTTGGGGAGAAGGACATCGACGGACACCTGAAAGGATAGAACTCATTAATAATTCCAAGCCGAGACTGACTCGATGGGTCGTGAATGTAGATCTGATACTGGCCGGCCTCAACCAAACTTTTCGAGTCGGCTTTAGAATCTACTATGCTACAGACATTTTCAAGCCGCGGGAAGAATAACGACCGTTTGGTCAAGAAGAAAGAAGAAAAGAGCTCGAACGTTGGGGTAAGTTCAACAGGTAGAAAACTACGAATTTATAAATTTCAGAATAAGCATCAAATACGGGCGCAGATTGAAGAGCTTCTTCAGAGGCGAAAGGAGCTTGATCTCTATCAGAAGCGCCTTTTGGTAGACCACTAGGTTTTTGAGATTGGGTAGTTTAGGCCGTGTCACGGAATGTTGATTCGAGCTGTAGTGAAGAAGGTGGGTATCGAGTATAGCTAAAAATCCCCCCAATTCAGAACCGCCTGCCGAGTCGTCTTTGGCCGATGATGGCGAGACGTTGGTCGCGATTCCGGCCAAACTCTTCTGGCATCCAAACGCCCGACAGGAAAATGACGGGTTTATTACGATTTAGTTTATTTAGATGCAGGTCCAAATCGAAAATCGCGGCAGGGAGAAGCGAGCGATCAAGGTATTACTTTAATAGCGATTAAACGATGTTTAGGTGAAATGCTCGGACACGATTCTTTCCGAATCTATCCCGTATTTTGGTACTTCAACCCCGGAGAGACGGGATTTTGACGGTGAGCGCACCATTTATAGCACTGAAAACGCCGTGTAGATCACCGTCGACGAAGCGGTGTGGAAGAAAGAGAAAATTATATTGCAGCACACAACTGTAAGTTCTCACCTCAAATATAGAATCTTCAGGCCATCCCTAATCATATCTCGTACTTGCTGCCCGAAATATTCCGGTGGACACCAAAGACGCTACTCGATAGTCTGCACCTTGAATGCGAGCCATAAGCCGGAATCAAACCGGTCGGCTTAATTGTTTTTCAGAATCATCAGTATTAATGTTTATAGATTTCAATTCGGAGCCCTGATAATAACACCAAGAAAACATCAAAAGACTACAGAGAGCCGGGTAGGCTATTCTATCTTATTTTTAGTATTAAATCTCACTACATCACATTTGGTTCTTTTGTAATAGCGGGGGGGGCAACTTTTTTTCTTAGGATCCAATTTTTCAAATATAAATAACGGAAGTGTTTCTGAGCTGTTTTTTTTACTAAAAATTTTCTCTCTAATTTTTATTAAAAAGTGCAAAATGCCGAGTTGTGACCAAAAATTTCGAAGTTTGGAACATTTTTTAAAGTTTTTGGATAGTTTTTCTAGCTGAAATATACTTTATCTTACTAAAAACACTATTAAAACATTTGCTATTAATTTACTATACCTATACGAAAAATTTCGATCCCCCGATAGTGAATGAACCGATTTTTCTGTTATTAGTGATATTACTTAGGCAACTTATAGATTTATATGTTCTGCCCCTGTTTCAGATTCTCTGATGTGCTCGGAGAAGGAGATCTGGTGGGATCGTGGGGGTGCCAGGGTGCAGACAATTACTTTCACAAATACCTCCTGGGCACGCCGGGTTATAAAGGTCAACAAAACGCCCAAAAAAACAACCTATCGACAGTTTTTAGGTGAAATGCTCGGATAACAGGCTGTATGTTGTCAGCCCGGTCTATGCGGCCATTGACTCGGCTGAGACGGTGGCTATCACGGTATGTGGGGGAAAATGGTGCTTTCGCAATATCGGGGTCCAAAAGTTCAGAAATGTCTAACAACTTAATAGTAAGTATTTTAATAGTCTGGCTAGTAAAATTTAACTATATTTCAAGCCAAAAAAAACTGGAAAACATTAGAAATTTTTTAGGCGAAAATTAAGTGGAAAATCCACTATTTTTGTCGAAAATCTATGTTCTGGTCCTTTTAGCAAAAAATTGTGGCGTAGATAGGTTTAGGAATAGTGAAACAAGTTTAGAAACAAGCCCTCTACTTTTATTTGAAAAATTGGATCCTAAGAAAAAAGTCCCACCCCCGCCTCCTCCCCGCCGATATTGCGAAAGAACCGGGAAATTAATTATATAGATCTTTGCTAGTTTTCTCGCACCGCCTCGATCATCGGCGAGACAAATTTGTGGTGATGCACTTGAAGGTAAAAGAGCAAAACAAAAAACAAACATACAAATCCAGGCTGACGGTCCATTTCACGTTCTCGGACCGCAGGACGTATTTCGAGCGTCGAATCCCATGACTATTCAATCAATAATTATCCCTTCGCGTGGCCGATAGATTAAAAAAAATTTGGTATAAATTTCGAAATTTTGTAGAGTAGCGCATTTCAGTTAACAGATTTATCCCCGGTATTTACCCAGATTGTACGGCCTCAAAGCGTCGGCACCTTGCTGACGTCGACATTGACGCGGATGAAGGCCGTATTGTTGACGACATACTTGCCCTTGACGATGTCAGCGACGAGGGCAAAACGCTAAATTTATACATCATAATTCATCTATCTCTTATTCAAACCTGTATCCCAAAAGCCGGGTTGCGTTCGGCCTTCGGTCTTCCCAGGAATGGATCGTTCTCGGGGAGCGCTTTCGGCAGAATGCATTCCGTTACTAAATATATGGATTTCCGGTTCTTTTGCAGTATCGGGGGGCAAATATTCATTTTTGTACAAAGATAGAAATTCCCAATAACTGAATAGGAAGTTTTAACGATGTTTTAGTAAAATAAAACTATATTCCAACCTTCAAAACTTTTTTAAAGGTCGAAATTATGGTCAAAAAAGGCTAATTTTGGTCGTAGAAGCCATATTTTTGATTTTTAGCCAACAAATTATGAAGTTTTTACGTTTAGGAATAGTAAGAAAACCTAGAAACAGTTTCCTCTAGTTATATTTTAAAAGTTGGTTCTTCAAAAAAATTGTTACCTTCTCCCCGATAATGCGAAAGAACCGGATTTTATGGTTAGGGATAACCAGCTATAATTCGTGAATATTTCTCTACAACTTACGATGCACTTCGCTGCCATCTTGATTCATCCAGCTGATCCGCACCGGGCATTTGAAGGGCCATGGCAGGATGGCGTCATATTCGTCGCGCAGGATGGAGACGAACAACGAGACGTATTGACGCACAGCTAAACCAATTTCATCGCATAGACTTCCGCTATTCAAAACTTGCGCTATGTTTTTTTGATATACCTTTTCCTTCACCAAACGGCGCCAAAACAGCGCACATTTTGTAGCCATGCCTATGTGTGTGGAAGGGCGGGCTGTAGATGACCGGCACGCGCCCCTAAAAGAAAATATAGCCTTTGAAGCTTTGGCACACCTTCCGAGCTGCCTCAAAATGCTTCTGATAATTGTCGATGCGCCAAGTCAGTTGGCTACTAAATATGTATAGTGGATACAAAATAGAAAAACATGTTAAAACGAAAAGTTTAAACAAAATTTTTTATACGTAATAAAATACAAAAACGGATTTTTTTGGCCAAAATCTCCCCTTTTAGATAGTTTTATGGTTGAAATATACTTTTATTTTACTAAAAAGATTATTTGATACGTACCTATTGAGTTACTTTAAACATTATACAAAAGATTATGATACTAAACATTAGAACCCAAGACCCACCTGAATTTCGTGACAATGGCCGTCGAGCGAAGGGTCAACTTGGCGGCCAGCGCTAAGCTGCCGGTCGTCTCCGTGATGCTTTCCATCGCCTTTGCCCGAAAGTCGATCGTAGACTGGCACATTTGCGCCAAATGATCGAATCTGTACTAATCGTCAAATCAATTTGCTTGAATAATTACTTGTCATCCCGAATATGGGTTTTGATGTCGATGGTTCGACCACGTCGGGTGCAGCCGAATTCTTTGAAGGGACAGTCGATGATGGCATCCGGGGTGAGCGCTGCCAGACTTGCAGGCAAAGCTGGTGTTTCACTGACTAAATTTTAAGTCGTAAAAATCACCTCAAAAATTTGGTTCTTTCGCGTTATCGGGGGGGGGGGCAGGACTTTTTTGTACAAGTAAGTACTTATATAAGTCTATAAATACCTATTAACTTCATAGAAACTGTTTTAATAGTGTTTTGAGTAACACATAACTAGATTTAACCAGAAAAACTATCTAAAAACTTAAAAAAAGTAGAGACTTTGATCAAAAATCGAAATTTTGATATTTTTCAACATAAACTTGTAAAGTTTTCACTTTTACGACTAGTGAAAAACCATTTAGAAACGCTGCCACTATTTAGATTTGAAAAATTAGATCCTAGGAAAGAGTTTGTCCCCCCGATAATGCGAAAGAACCAAAAGTTTTAATCCCTAGTTGTTTGGCGTCGGCGATGGTAAGTGGCGTTGTCGGCGAGACGGCCAGCGGGGAAACAGCTGCAATAGTATAACTAAACAAACAAAAATATAAGATCTAACGTGTGGTCATCTTCCGCTCCCTTTGCGGCGAGTGAATAGGTGTCAGCATGGAATCTCTAGAAACAGGCCTCGGCGTCGGCGACTAAATTTTTGCAAAGAAGTTTCATTCTACAAAACCTGCCGTGTGACCCGAGCCGACATCGGGCGAACCGTGACGACTTCCTGCAGTTGGTAGGCATCCGCCTATAAACCGTTACTCATCAAAGGCAAAAACCCACGAGCTCGGCCATCCAAAGGAGTTCTGAAACAGGTCGATCCAAAAACTAAAGAATTTCGAGAGGATTAGGCTGCCGGTAGCAACGTGCGTCGCTTAGATGCCCGATTTGTATCCCGGGAGAAGCAAACCGTTGGGGCAAATTCCTTCGAGACCTGCATAGTAACAAGGATTTTGATGACCCCTGGACAAAAGCAAGCACCGCAGGGGTGCCATGGAAAAGCCTCTGATGGTACAGATTGACAGTTTATTAATATAATATTAGGCATGTATGAAATGACTGTGGACATAATTTTCTCCCTGATTTTTCACAGACAGGGAGGCGCCGAACACTCTTTTTAGCAAGATATTACTGTAGATGCAGCGAGACGACCGGTTGGATGGTGCTTATTAATATAATATTTAAGATATAGATAACAGTGAAAATATAATTAAATTTAATGTAGCCGTTTTTCGCCGTTTTCAAAAAGCTACTCGGTTCCGTAACACTCCGCAATTTCCGATAAAAAGGGCATTTACCGTAACCAAAACCTTTTTGCAGCGGAATTCCACGACGTTTCGATTTATACTCGGTTGCTCCTGGCTAACTCACGAACGGTCTATTCCACTTTTCAGAGAAAAACCTACTCTTTCGAAAATCCATTTGTTTTTATGGACCTCTCGATCCGGCAACCCGTATTTAACGCCCCTTCACGCCCTTTCGCGCCCTCCTGTATTTCGCGCCCCCTGTAAATAACGCCCTCCAAATGACCACGAAAAGGGCGTTATTTACAGGAAAACGCTCGTTTTGCAGGGCGTTATTTACAGGAGAGCGTTAAATACAGGGGGCGCGAAATACAGGGGGCGTTATTTACAGGAGGGCGTGAAGGGGCGCGAAAGGGTTGGAGTGTATGCCGGAGTGTATACGGGTCTCTCGATCTCGATCCTGCTAACCCCGTTTCTTGGTTTAGATGATTGATGGTGCTTAGATGACACCGCAAGAACTATAGAGCCTGGTTAGACCTATTCAACTTGTGATTCCTCATACCTTCTGATGCCGGACATACTTGCTTTTTTCATCAGATCTTTAGAGCATGTTCGACTTCGGAGCGCTAGGACGCCGTCTCCAAGAAATCACCAACAACGCCAAAGAGACGCGGCCGTTCACGAAAGCACCTCCAATCCCGGCCGCAAAGGTATTCTTAGCAGGTGCTGATTCAATAATTCGTTTAGACGATCATCTACCGACCCGTGAGCGGTGTCACACTTCCGCCGCCTAACGAAGGGGAAGAAGACTTCCACATGGACCACCTCAACTATGTGTTCAATCACCAGGTGCGTCGGTCTCGCTTTTTTGTAATATCTTTCAGGTCAATACTACCCACTTCGCCCTTCCAATCACTGATCGTAAGCGGAGCCTGATCATCGACTACGCTTTCTCCGTGTTTGCAAATCGCCGAAGGCCACTCGAGTCTTTCTTCTTGGCCGTGCATCTCATCGATAATACCATTCAAGTAAATTACTTTTTTATACTAATTTTTGTTTTTAGAGCCATAAAAAGACTCTTGATACTGCCGGTGACCAAGATATTGCCACGATGGTTATTGCCGCGGTTGACATTGGATCCAAGGTTTTTAAAACCCTTCGCACATAAAGTAGATTTTTTTAGTGCGAATACCTGCACGGCGTGGCCCACCATTTCGTCGATGGGTACGACACCAACAAGATCCGCATGTGGGAAAGGGAGCACTTGCGCCTGTTCGAGTTCAACATCAGCCACACCCACTGCCTGCACTTCCTGCGTATTTTCCAGGTGAATCCCACCCTCCCCCTCCGTCCCCCCGTCCCCCCGTTTACAGGCTTTTTTTTTTAGTTCATGACGCATGATCTGATGGCCGAAAAGAATCTCCAAGGCGCTTGGACCTTGATGAAAGCACTGGGATGCTTGGCTATGGCGCACTTACGACTGCCAAGCAGCAACCATCTCTCCTCGCGGCCGCTGTCGCCCGTGTGGCATTCGAGATGCTCCACCAACGCGGAATCATTGCCTCTGCAGAGGTATGATTTTCTATATAATCGTTGAATTTTGTTAATTTTCAGCCTTCTGTTTTGCTGCATCTTCATCACGTCGAATCTGAGCATCTGCCGGTTGCGATCGCGCTCGTGGAGTGGCTGCAAGCTTGCCCTAAGGCCATCGTTTCCACCGTATGTGCTTCTCTGATATCCATCTTTGTTACCTAGATTGCGAAGTACTACGCGGATGAAGGAGTGCAGATCAACGACACCGAACTGCGTGATGTTCTGGCCTCCTTGAGGATGGCTCTTGTGCGCGCGGAATTGACCGGATGATTTTGCGACTAACAACTGGATCCTAGCCACTCTGCTCTTTCGCTTATCGTAAGACTTAAATTAACATGGTTTATGGCCATGCGCCAATGTAATTGTGAATCTGTGCATTTGATTTAATACTGTGATACTACTACTTTGAGACTTTGATTCTGTGTGTGATTCTTTTTTATCCGCGTACATGTGATTTCCCTAAACCTCTGGAGTAATGCTGATAAACGATGCATTTGTCCGAGAAAGATTCGAGATGATATTCGTTCGAGGCGTCAAATTTATTTGGAGTGTGGATGGCCCTTATAAAATGTCTCATTTGGCTCTTTTGATTCGAAATTGTAGAAGTATCTTTGCAGCATCTACTTTGGTCCGGCCAGGCTTCACAAAAAATACCCAGGGTAAAAGCGATCTATTGGGAGTACGGACTACAGGCACGCCCCCTTATCGTGGGCCTGCCAGCCTGCGGCGTCCTTTGCCCCAATTCCCTGTTGATCATCACTACGGACTTTGACCTATTTTCTAAAATTTTGATTTGCGGAAATTGAGGCCTGCCAATGTGTATCTAGTACCTTTGACTAAAACAATGATAATTGGATGTATCAGTGGATCTTTTTGCTTCCTCTATATATTGTTTTCCAACTTTACCCCCTCAGTTTCTGCCCCCTATTATCCTGCTTCAGAAAACTTGGGTAACAGACGCAGGTGATGTTGTCCCGTCTCCATCAATCCCAGCGGATATTCGGTAATTTTTTGATCCAATTGTTTGTTCTTGCTGAGTTGGCTGACCTTGCTAGTAGCCTAATATTAATCGATTCCAGCGTTCGCCGCCCGCCCGTTATCACGCTCATCACCTCTAGCTGCCGGTATGTTATTTTCTGAGCAGACATTCGGCTGTAAGTGGTTGTCACTTTTAATTTTTCGCTTTTAGGCACTGTCAAGGTCGAGAGGCAAGGTGATGTCGCTGTGCTGAAGATCGACATCCCGAATGTCAAGGTATTATTGAAACTTAGTAATTTAAATTGGCCTTAGGAAAATGTCCTGGGCGAGGCGCTGTCGGGTGACTTGAATGAAGCCTTCAACAAATTGGAAAATGACGATTCGGTCAAGGGAATCGTCTTGATGTCCGGCAAGCCAAATTCCTTCGTTGCCGGCGCCGACATTACAATGTTGTCGAAGGCTAAAGACGTCGCTGACGCACAGAGGATGAGCAGGTATGTTTTAAAACATCTCTGTAGTTCTTAAACTCGTTTTCAGCGAGGGCCAGAAGCAGTTCGCTCGATTGGCTGATTCGAAGAAGCCGATCGTCGCTGCCATTATGGGATCGTGCCTGGGCGGTGGTCTGGAGCTTGCTATGGCTTGCCACTACCGCATTGCTGTCAACGACAAGAAGACGCAACTCGGCTTGCCAGAGGTAATCGACTTACATAATCCCAAACACTTTTGCAATTAGGTGATGCTCGGGCTTCTTCCCGGGGCCGGTGGAACCCAGCGCTTGCCTAAGCTCGTCGCGTTGCCGACAGCGCTGGACATGATGCTCACCGGGAAAAAGCTGAAGGCGAAGAAAGCCAAGCAAGCGGGCCTTGTTGACTCCGTCGTCGAACCCCTAGGTGATGGACTGGGACCCGCTTCGGAAATCACGCACAAGTAAGTGTTATTGCGCGTACGCATACGGGCCGTTTAGGTATCTTGAAGAGATCGCTGTCACGGCAGCTAAAAAATCTCATCAATGGCTCTTTGAAGGTAGAATTGTTTGTGTTGTCGCTCCATTTTTTCTGATTTAGATCGATCGGACGCGCCCATTGCTTGAACGTGTTACAAGCGCTGTAACGAACAATCGGGTGGTACTGGACAATGTCGTGCTGAAGATGGCCCGTGATAAGGTAAGACTATATCGCATCTCACATCTAACACTGTTGCTCAGGTGATGAAACTGACGAAGGGCAACTATCCGGCGCCATTGAAAATTCTGGAAGTCGTGCGCGAGGGAATTGTCGGTGGCCCGGCCAAAGGCTATGCTATGGAATCTCAGGTTTTGTTGCTAAACATTACAACCTTTTTCTTTAGTATTTCGGTGAACTGGCAAAGACTACACAATCAGCCGCCTTGATCGGTCTCTTCAATGGATCGACTGATTGCAAGAAGAACAAATATGGAGAAGGCCGACCTGTCAAGTACAAGTTATTTTAATGGGCCGAACATCCTTTTTAGGGAGATTGCCGTGGTCGGTGCTGGCTTGATGGGGGCTGGAATTGCCAATGTCACCATTGACAAAGGCATTCGTTCGGTGAGTTTATGTCATTTCTGGCCGAACTAAATGTTTTAGGTGCTTCTTGATGTCAACCAGTCGGGCTTGGAGCGCGGCCAGAACCAGATTCTGACCCATCTTTCCACGGCTGTCAAGCGGAAGAGGCTGAGCCTTTTGGAAAAGGAGAGGTACGACTTGTGTTTTCATCCTATAGCTGCGCTCAGGATCGTCACCAACCTTGAGGCGACCACCGACTACAGCCGGATGAAGAATGCTGATATTGTCATCGAAGCCGTCTTTGAAGATCTTTCCCTGAAGCACAAGGTTTGATTTCCAAGGCTTGTGAAACTTTCTTTCCTTCAGGTGGTCAAGCAGATTGAGTCCATCGTCCGTCCGGAATGCATTGTCGCAACCAACACTTCCGCTCTGCCAATTGCCGATATCGCCAAAGCCAGCGCCCGCCCGGAAAATGTATGAACGTATTGGCTTTTTTCAATATTTTTTTAGGTCATTGGCATGCACTATTTCTCGCCGGTGGAAAAGATGCAGCTTCTTGAGATCATCACCCATGAAGGGACCTCCAAGCAAACCATCGCTACTGCTGCTCAACTGGGTCTGAAGCAAGGAAAGCTGGTCGTCGTGGTCAAGGTTCGTTATCTTCTTTGCATTCTCATTCGTGTTTAGGATTGCCCTGGCTTCTTCGTTGTGCGTTGTTTGGCCCCAATCATGAGCGAGATCACCAGGCTGCTCCAGGTACATTTAGTCGACATTCCTTATTTGTTCCATAGGAGGGTATGTCCCCTGAGCAACTCGACAAGATCACCACTGATTTTGGATTCCCAGTGGGCGCTGTTACTCTTTCTGATGAGGTAAAATTTTTAGTTGCAGTGAATGGAAATTTTAGGTGGGACTGGACGTCGCAGAGCATGTTGCTCATTTCCTCTCGGGCGCCCTCGGAGCGCGAGTGGGCGGCGGAAACCCACAGATTTACACGGATCTGGTGGCAGCTGGCATGAAGGGAAGGAAGTCGAACAAGGGCTTCTACAATTATGGGGATGGCAAGAAGGTGATTTTTGCTTCGGACGCAAGATTCGAAAAATGAGCTGTTTTCGCAAATCTGCGTCTCTGCGTGGCAGGATTTTCTAAAAGTCTGGTTACGATCAGTTATTTATTTCAGGGCAGCAAGAAGGCGAACGAGGAGGCCCTAAAGATCATCAAGAAATACCGCGTGGCCGCCCCAGCCGACGTCAGCAGCGTTGAGGACCAGCAGATCAGAGTGCTTTGCCGCTTCATCAACGAAGCCATGTACTGCCTTCAAGAGGGTGTGATTAGCCAACCGGTAAACAATTTAGCATGAACCCAACTTATTTTTTTTCTTATTTTAGTCTGACGGCGACATCGCTTCGGTGTTTGGCGTTGGCTTCCCGCCCTTCTGGGGTGGCCCCTTCCGCTTCGTCGACCTCTACGGAGCCGAAAAGCTGGTCACCAAAATGGATAAGTACTCCCGCGCCTATAACCGCGAACAGTTTGCGCCGGCTCAGATTCTCCAGGTATATTTAGCTGACAGGCTCCAAAGTCCGTTTCAGGATTACGCGAAGTCTGGCAAGAAGTTCTACTGAATCGATTGAACCCCTTTTTGTACGCCAATTATTTTTATACGAGTCCCCCGTTGCTCCATGCCATCATTGGTTTTCGTAGGCGCTTTTCCAATGTACATTCTGTGACTGGTACCCTATTATCCTCTTATAAACACCCTCACTCTAGACGTATCTGAGCCTACACGGTCCCCATTGTTTAATCTCTTTCCGCTAGACTGTGCCATTAGATTTAGTGCGAAGAGGTATAAAGTTTATCTATCCTCGGCAACAATCCAAACAATCATAAGAGCAGATGGCGTCAGTTGGACGGGGGCGGGGTGTCCGACTCGTTGCTGTCAAGGGCTTTGTCGTCGAACTCGCGCTGTGCACATGTGAGCAACTGCAATTAACTAGTCTTTCAGCTGATAGCGAGCCCTAGTTACCCAGTTCGACAGAAGGGGCAGCTGCTTCCAGATGCAGAATTTGAAGTGCTTCTTGTAGTTGTGCTTGATCAACTACAGGGACTGGGGTTGAGGTCATGAAAGCTCTACCTGATGGCGGCGCTGATACGGCGGCGGTTCAGCGGTGACAAAATTCACGAAGAGGACTCCTCTTTTCCCGAGCAAGCCAGCCATTTTCGACAGCAACTCGTCGGTCTCCAGCTCATCAATGGGGCATTTGTACAGCTAAAACGGAGCGGTTGACCGGGAAACGCGCTTCCTACATCTGGCCGATTGGCGCCGGTTGAGTCCTAAAAATTAGGTGAAAAAATTGTTTTCACCATTACCTCAGTTCGGCAGGCATCGTTGAAGATGGCATCGAAGGTTTCACCTGGAGAAGGGGTAGTAGTGGGGAAGAAATTTTGAGAGACGTTTGTGGCTTCTTTAGTAGTTCCAGGAAGCGGCAATTTTTCATAGCATCCAGTTTTGCCAATATAAATAGAAGAAGGGTTTCTCAATGTTTTTTTACTATTCACTAAACGTAAAAATTTTACAAAAGCTCTATTAAAAGCTACAAAAATGGATTTTTCGACCAAATCCCAGTTTTTAAGCCGTTTTTCAGGTTTTAAATGCCCCAATTAGGATTTCCGGTAGGCGCTACCATTCTCTGCGGCCCTTCTGATCAGGTCCACGGCATCTTCAAGCCGGATGCGTTTGCGATATTCGACGTCTTTGGGCGTCTGGAAATGGCGGAAAGCCTTCCATAACATGCTCGCGCTGATCTCGACCGTCGTCGTGTTCATCTGGTGAATAAAATGATCCAACCGGGTGTTTAGAGTACTTTTGGGTATTTCTGGTAGAAGAATGGTGGGAACACGCCGACACCATGGCCCAACAGCAGGAGACGCCTATTAGCATTTGTGCCATCGCGTTCGAGGACGCCGGTGCGAAGCATCGTCTCATAATGTTCCAATTCGTAGCTGGAAATGGCCGGGTTTTAGATGTTTTATTTTTTTACATGGAAGCTATACCTGTAGGGGTCGAAATGGAGATGATCAATCTTCCACGTAGCTGCGTCCATTCGGGAACCGACGCGCTCGCTGTCTAAAAGTCCACTATTTTAGAATATAGATAAATTCGCCTACCCGGCGGCAACGACAACCACTTTTGGCCCATCAACGTCAACGGGTTTTCGTTGATGCGCATCTGACGACTGAACCCGCTGCTTGGACTGTAGATGTCCACGATCCTTTCGGTGCCTTCAGACCAGCGAACCTAGTGGAAAGCTGCATCAACATCGCCCAGAGAAACCCGGTATTGTACTGTTAGCAGGGGGGAACCAAATTTTTTTCCCCGGCTATGCCTGCCTGTTTTATAATGTTTTTTAGTCGTTTTTGATTTCTAGAAATTGCAAAATATTTTAATCATTTTTCAAAATTCGAAATATGTGAACTGTTAGGTCAAAAAGTCTAAAAATTTTAGAAGTTTTTTTGCGTTTTTTTAGGTAAAACCATGTAAAATGCTCTAAAAATGATTTGTATCTTGTTATCGGACTGTAAAGGATACTGGGGAAAACTAGCTTCCCGCTGCTAAACCCCCCTGCTAACAGTCGAATACCAGAAACCCTACCACTCCCCGGCGATACTTGTTGATCATCTGTTGCTCAAAATCGGGCACGATTTTCTAAAAATTAATTGGGTGGAAACAAAGCAAAAAGTTTACAATGTTGAATTAAAATCTATAAGAACATGGCTTTTTCGGAAATTCAGATTTAGCTAGTTTTCAAATTAGTTTACCCGTTTTTACATAGCTAACTTTTGGCAAAACACCAGTAAAATAAATGCGAGTGCGTTATTACGCATAGCTAGAGTTTTAGACCAACCTCAAAGAAGATCTCCTGATCATAGATGTATTTCTGAAAATGACAGGTATTTTCAGGGTTTCCGAAGGCGGACTGACGATGCAGTTGGCAAAGAAGATGGCCAGCACGACGCCGTAGAGGGATCGCTTGATGATTGTGTAGGCAGAGAGGGAGGTTGCCACTTCCTCCGGAGCCGCACCTTAGAATTAGAATATTTTTGTTGGCTACGGTTTACTTTACCCCCCCAGCCGGAAGTTTTTGGCTATAACTTTTTTATTTTACATTAATGTAGGCTCAAATTAAAACTCTTAGTATATTTTTCGACGCTCTATCGAATGGCGTTGCGAAAATCCCGACAAAATAAGCGAAAATACCGACAACTTTGAGACCCTTCGGCTGTGGGGGGGGGGGGTAAAGTAAACTCTTACCTTTTTGTTATCTATGATATTTATATTTTCGACGCTAGTCATTAAAATATCCATTTTGAGGGGCACGTCTAAACTTTTACCTTTCTTCTTCTGCTGCTTGTTGGCCATTTTTGGGAGCTATGGCGTTCGACTGCCGAATTTCGCGCCATTCCATTACCATCCATACTTTCTAGATATGCTAATTAAACATTTAGAATTGTTTTGTTATTGTAGTTTCATTTTTACGGTTCTGCTTCGTTAGCGGGGGGGGCGAACTGCATTTGTTCCAGCTAACATCAACCGTTATAAAACAAACTATTTTTACTAGACTTTTTGGGTAGTTACGCATGATGGTTTTTCCGCTGACGTTTAGCAAACCCTTCTTTCCTCATCTATATTTTTACGGCATTAGCGATGCGGTGTTGGCGGTAGCGGTCGTCAAGCCGTTTCTCGGCGACCGTCCCTCGGTTGGCCCAACACACAATATGAATGCCATCACTGCAAAGCTACGTTTTCTGGTTTTCTTTGTTTTCTAAACGTTTATAAGGAGCCATTAAGTGTTTTATAACGCGCTGTCTTTAATAAAGTTTGACTTTTGTTTTGTAACGGATCATTAGGTAAACAAAATGGGCTCGTCACAAATCAAAGAAAAAGGCTGCAAAAGAAGCCGAGGCTGCCGTTCAACAAACCCATGAGGTACTACTTACAATTAGAACAGGTGCTTGTACATTATCGAGGGGTAAAAAAGTTGTTACACTCCGATCAAAATTGTTGATTTTCTATCTACATTTACATTTCTCTACTTTTATAAAGTTTTTTGGATACTTTCCCACTCAAAAAATTCGGAAAATAAAGGAAATATATTACAGTACTAGACATTTCTGGACTTTCTGAAGATTTCTCAAGCTTAGTGGTCCCCCTATAATGAAAACACTTTTGAAAACCTTCTTCAACTTTTTTAGTCATTAGAAGATGAGATAATTCGATCGACCTCCCCCACCGGTGACATCCCACGCCCAGATGGTATGACCGAGAAAGAGCTCGAAGATCGAGCCAAGGAGAAAAAGGCCAAGAAGGTCAAGAAGGTCAAGCTGAACGAGAAAATGCTTCAGGTAAAAACGGTAATCTCTTCGGCAATCCGTATTGCCACAGGAATACATCACCCTGGAGAAAGCGGTATTTCGACTGGAGCGCAAGAACGTCATCAAGAAGTACGAGCAGAAGATGATCGCCGCCGATGAGCTGAAGAAGACGGTCGATCAATTGGAAGCTACTTATAAGGAATTGAAGAAGCAGACGTCAGTTTCCAGAGTTAACTTGAAATGGGGTAAATTTAGGGAAAAAGAACGGGCAGATATGGAAAATATCGAGGCAGCCGTCGGTGAAGACCTTCTTGAAATCGCAGGTTTGGTAGTAGAAAGGCTTTCCTAAATTTAAGGAATTAAATATGGTCTGAGAAACACTTTTTAAACATTTTCCAATGTAGGAAAGTACTCCAAAAGTTAAAGATGAGGATATATATGAAGCCAAATTTTTCAGCTTTTGTCATTTAAACGATTGATGATTTACTATATATTTAGTATATACCTTTTAATTACACAGTAAAAAATATGTTTAATTTTGTAATGGAAAACGATGTTCTTTTGGACTGAAAGATTTTGGAGGTAACTTTGAAAATTACGCGAATTTTCAGTGGTCTGTTCGTATTAACCATCAATTTAGACATTATAAAAATATAGAAAAACATTTAAAATGGAACAATAATTCCTTAATTTTATTAATAAGTATAATTTCAGGTTATATCCTATTTTTGCGTGCCATATTCCCCGAAAATCGGGCGAAACGGGCAGCCCCCACTCTTTGCAGGGCACTTGGGAGCAGCGACTGGGCAAGAGAAGGAGGAATACGTGGAGGCGACGAGAAAGCAAGATAACGCTGAAAGGTGACCCCTCTCTCGTGTCCTCGGTAGTATAGTGGTGAGTATCCGCGTCTGTCACATGCGAGACCCGGGTCCAATTCCCGGCCGGGGAGAAACTTTTTGCTTTTTTGAGATTTTGCGCTCTGATGGGATCGCCAGCGTAAATCAAGATGTTTTAGGCGCTTTCGGACGCGAAAATGGAAATATTCTCGGGCAGCAAGATTGCGGAACTTTACAAGCAGCAAACGGACGATTTACAGAATATGTATGAGAAGCAGGATCAAATGTTGAGTAAGTCTAAAAAGGATAAAATAGAAAAATTTGTTAAGCGGAAATATTTGGATCGGAATATACGACGGAAAAGGAGAATCAGCTGGAGGGAGAGGCTTGTTGAAGGTTTATTATCAATTAGAAACACCATTTCTAGCTTGAAGATTTGGTGGAATGGCAGCGAGAGTGAGTTTGGCCATGTTTAAATGGACAAACGGAAGGTAAATTAAGGAAAATGAAGAAAGATTAATTATATTAAAAAATCTGTTATTATATTGCGTAAGCTTCTGCAATCTAGGGTTCTTCTCGTGCACGCAAATACCCAGATGGCGTTCGGCATTTCTCGATGGTCTGAATTGAAGAAAATCGAGTCGGCGTGAGTTTATTTCTTTTCAATAATTGTTTATGCCTTTAAAAATACAATTTGTCTTCCAGTAACGGCCGGATGCGCTATTTCGCGGCCGCCGAGGCCCGCAACAACTTTATTGCGGCCGGCCAGAACGTGCAGAGTTGTCGTGTGTACTTGGGAAAGGTCAAAAACTAGTTTCATTTTTAATTAGCCTTTTAAAAAATCTTTAATTCCAGGTGCAATTCCCGTACGCGACGGAGGATGAGATGACCGAGATGGAAAATACGGTCAACACCGCCTTCAAGGACGTACAAAATGATGGCACTATTGATAAGGTTGAATTTTCAGGTTTTCAAAAATGCAGTTAATTTATAGGCCGGTCGTGTTTTCCAAGAAACACATGTCAATCACGTCACTTATCCAATGGTTCGACAAGGTCATTCACGACACGATTTGTAAGGATTTGGATAAGGCAAATGATGAGGTGGGTTTTTCGAGGTTGTCATTTTCTATATGTTGCTCCAAGGTCATCCGGAAACAACGTCAACTTCGTGAAGAACGGTTGGCGATTATGAAAAAAAGGTAGCATAATCGTTAGCGTTTTAGTGAATTTTTAGGTGTTTTGGTTGGTTTTCATGACTTAATAGCCGTAAAAGGTATAATTTTCAGAAAGTTTGATTTTTGCTAAAAAGCCTCTTTTTCGAAATTTTTAACAACTTTACATAAATTTTCTATACCTAAAACGCAAGCTAGTTTCCCCCGTTAACAGTTCAGAACCTATAAAACGATAAATTAGTGCAAAGAAGAACTGGGCCACGATATGAGCTTCGAATATGACCATGTGGCGGACAACAGTTGGAGAAGGTGAGCGATATTCAGTGCCCCGGATTACCGTAACCCACCCAGGAGCTACTGGCACTCGAAGAAGAAGCGCTGCGAGACGAACAATTCAGCCGTACCGACAGTCTAAGCGTAAGCCTTTTTGGGAATTTTAGAAAGTTAGAAGCAGGAACTGCTGAATCTGTCACAACCGGACGGGCCGGGTGGGGTTCCGCTCAACAAATTGGCACCAATACCTACCAAGGACGCGTTGTTGATGGTGGGTCATGGGGGTTGGAGAAATAGAAATAAGCAGGGTTGAAAAGCCGCTTCGCGACTTTTCAACCCTGGCCCAAATCTAAATTGATGAAATTCTTCATGAATACGTCCTCTCGAATTCCTATTGGGGAAAAATGAGGAATTCCAGTCTCCTCGTTATATATATAGGCTCGGCGACTTCCCGTATGCTAATTATTTCTAACAAAGAAGGCTGCCGGATTTTTCAACAAAAACACAATTTTAATGTCGAAAATAGCATAATTTGCAAAATCTGATATGCGTGCAGTCATCTCAGGGACATTACGCACCCCTAATCCCCTGTATCATACGTTTTGTAACGCCTTCCCCTCTTGAGATATCACTCCGGACACAGTGACGAGTTGCATTCAAATGCACACACACACACACAGGAACTATTTTTATATATAGTAGGATATTCCAGGCGACGTCAAGCAAAAACTAGACAGAGTATGGGACGACGCGGAAGAAGTGGTTCGTGCGCGTCACGAAGCCAGGGAGCAGCAAAAGCTTGCTTCCCAGGTTTGTGAAAAATGTTTTGCAGGTATTTCCTGGCGATCCGAATTTTTTCTATTAAGCCGAGATATATATTGTAGCGTCATAACCAGGATTTTAATTGTTTTTTTTTAGCAACTTGGTTATTTCAATGGAAAAACTATTTCGGAAATGCCGTACAGACTTAAAGAAAAGACAGAAATTTTCTTCGAAAAATCGAATTCTAAGTTTTTCCACCTAAGAACAGTAAATTAGGAGAGCTGGAAACAACGAGCCCAAAACGGCTCGAGCAGCAGCGATCTGGCGAGTCTGGACGCCCCACCACCGCCGGCCGCCGAAGCCAAGCCAAGAAAAAGAAGAAAAAGTCGGTGAAACGGATCCCGAAAAGAGCCGTTGCGCCCATCACAGAAGGCCTGAAAACCTTGATAAAAGCTTTTTCTTATTAAATTTACCATGTTTTCATGATTTTTGTGCCTATTTGGTTGTCGTTGCCAAAGTTCCAGACCAAGGAAGCGGGTGGCCATTTTTTTGAGGGCCGCCACATGGCGGCTTGTGATAAGCGGAAGGGGGGCGAGTGCAGCTAATCCTTAGGGAACGGCTTCAGCGATGCACGCAATCCACCGGATTTTAGTTCCAACTACAAGAGCATACAAAATGACATTCGGGGGTGTGTTTTATCATGGAAGAATTATGGTTTGTACTGCCTGGCTTCCGTTTATAAGGAAAATGGGGACTCTGAAGCGACAAAATTAGGAGAACTGTACCTATATTTTTTGGATTTTTTGTAGTTTTCTACGTCATTTTTTATCTATATAGTGCAAATTAAAAGCTTATCAAAATTGTGGAATTTTTTTGATTTTTTGCTTACAAGTACCTGCTCAAAAATTCCAAATTGTTAAACTTTTATGACTTCCGCATAATCCAAAAACTCACAAAAACCATAAAATACGCTATAAAAAAACTAACAAATTTTTCTAGATAGTTATTGGCTTCAAGATAGCCACCCCCCCGCTAACACACCCAATACCACCGCGCCATTTCCGGACCAGTCCTCACAGCATTTCCGTGACGTCCGCCCATATCAACGCGGAACATTCTTTGATCAGCAGGCTGTGAGGTTGCTCAAAGCCACGCTGAATGGAATCTGAAGCCGTGACCGGGCTTATCTATGCTTTAAGTTGGGCAGGGGAAGAAGGGCTAATCCACCCCAATCGCTCTGGTATTTAGGGGCTCATATCACGGGACTTTGGGTTGCGTTTTCGGCACTTTTCGGCTCCAGAAGATAGTTTTCCTCTTTCGTTTTCACTAAATACACCTTTTCCTGTGCTCCTATTCAAGCTTTAGCTCCCAAATGACGTTTTTTTGGGGATTTTTCATGTTTTTGCACAGGCAGCCTCAGATCTGACAAAATCCCCTGTTTGCGAACATCCTCCAGTTTTAGCTCGAAAACAACGGTATTTTTCATGGATTTTCCCGTTTTCTTTTTAATGTAATAGCTATATAATAAATTGTATTTCTTGAAGTTAGGGATAAAATATGCGTACCGTTGTGCTGTTGTGCCTCGTCTCGGCCGTCATATGTTTTCGCCCTCGTCCCCAAGGTGCAGAGGCCGACCGAACGTTTTCGTAGGTTTTTTTACGGTTTTTATTTCTGTAAATCACATTCCTATAAGTTTATTATGAAGTTAACTTCTTTAAATTGGCATTTCTTAGGGTATTTTCTGCGACGTGTGCATCCAATTGGTGAAAGGTTGTCGAGCAGGACGTGACTGATGACAGGCCGTCATCCAGAAGAGTCAGATTTTAAAGACTTTTAACAGAGAATCCGACTAAACCGTAAATAATAAAACACAAACAACGTGTGATAAGCTATAAATTCAGATTTTCAAGCATAAAAGTATAAATCTAACTAAAAGCACCCTTATTAAATACTTTGAATCTATTTGTAAAGGAGCCAGTGTACAAGGTTCTAAATTCACAAGCAAGAAAAACCCCTAATAACCGGCGATAAGCATACAAAAAACATCTGAAACGTCGGTTTTAGAAGCTCGACGACGAGTGCGACAAGCTCTTCCAAGCAGGGCATCATCGACGTCGTGCAAGCAAATCGTCGATTACTACGTCAAGGATGTGAGTCTAAAGTTTTGGAGCATTTTAAGCTTCTGCTAAAGCTTCATTTTCGCTATCAGCCCGGCCCTTTTCAGGTGATCGACATGTTGAAGAGCGGCACGAATGCGCCAGGGCGTCTGCCAATCCCATCGATTTCTGCTGGAGTGCTCACCGAGGCTGTATAAACCATAAAATCTTGGGTCTACTGTGCGAGATGAGCCGTTTATTCCGCGGATGCAGTTTGATCGAATGTCACAGAGACAGACAGAGAGAAATACGGCTATTTCAAGCACACAAACAAACACGATTCGATTTGCAGATGGGTTTTGTGTGGGCGATCAGGGGCCGTCGACGCCGGGCGGCAATTCCATAGTCGGCCACCTAAACCGTCCAGATTAATTTATTCAAGGTTCTTCTTCAATATCCGGGGGGTGCTACTTTTTTCTATCAGTGTAAAAATTATAAGTTTCAAGTATATTTTACTGTTTCAAGTGGAAACAATAAAAAGTAGAAAAATTTTTTAGTCGAAATTCTGGTCGAACATCTTCTTTTTCGATTTATTTGAGCAAAATTTGTAAAGCCTTGAATTGAATACGGTACCTGGGTGTCCTCACAGCTAGGGCTTGGTTTGTGTTCATCATTCGGCTTGGCAACGACCGGCTCTTCGGTGATGATCGGCTCGGCGGTGGGGTGTGATGCCTGGTAAATAAAAGATGACCCAAAGCCGGGGCTACCGCACCCATTTGACATGCCGGGGGGTTGCGCGAGTTGAGGGATTTCGTGGACGAGACGGGCTCTGCTCGACCAGATGGTGCTCGGCTTGGCAGGTTTATTTTGGTTCTGGAAATTTCGAGGTTGGGATACTTTGCCTTACCTGTCTTCTGGACGAGCGACAGTCCGGGGCGCCATACATTTTCAGAAGATCTCCTGCGAGATCACTCTCCCGTCATCCTGGGCGAACATGAAGCCGTCTAAAGGTGTATCGTGGATGCGACGCTTCAAAAACCTCCACACTTTCCACTCTCCAGCTCCTGCTTCCAGCCCGACGACGTCGGCAAGGAGGATCATCGGCTGGCGGAACGTGTCGAGTACGGTATCCCCAGGACCGAATACAGGAAGTGAGAAAAACCGCCCACTTTCTTTGCCAACGACTGGATGACACGGTGGAGGGATGGAGGGGTAGAGAGTACGGTAGAGGCTAAAATAGGTATTTGTTAATTGGCGCGTAGCGTACCTTTGACGGCCAAGTCGGGCAGCAGGCACGCGACGCAAATGAACAGCAGGAAGAGGCCCGTTTGGGGGGACGGCAGGGCTAGATGAGGCCCGCGAATGGGCCCGATTGGGGCCAATGATGGGCGCGATAAAGTAGGGGGAACAGGTACGAGTCGACGACCATCATCGCCGCCACGCCAATAATCGAGCTCAAGCAGCCAGGGCCGTTAGCTGGAGTGTCGCGTCGTTTTAAAGGGAGACGGACAACTCGTTACCACAGTGATAGAGAAGCTCTCGAGGACCGAACTTCAGGCTCACCACGAAACCATACACTAAAGGAAAAAGGTGTTAACGGGCCAAATCAGGCAGGGTATCTGGATCTTAATTCCATGAAAATTTCCAAAATTTTCGAAAGCCAAAATTCCCAAAAATCAATCCCGACCATCCAGTCTTGCCGATCCCTTTAAACCACATCCGAAATTATCAAAACAAACCGAATACAGCCACGAGCCACCCATCTGGCCCCAACCGTCACGGCCACTCGGGAACATTCACTGAATTCCGAGCCTCGATAAAACCGAGTAAAAACCCCACACCTCCCCCATCAGCGCCACCAGGATCCGATACGCATAGTACAGCATGGCACCGTGGAGCATCGCGTTCGCCGACTAGATCATGTGGCTCTAAAGGGATGGTGACACCTCCCCGGGAGGAAGAGGCCCAAATTCGTTGGTGAGGTTGTCCTGGAAATGCGTTGGTAGAGAGCGGGTACTTTCCCAACACATCCAACAGGACCAGGTTGTCAAAGATGCCCAGAATGCCGACAATCCAACTGAAAGGAGTACGGTAATTCCAAGGTTGTGACAGGACGCACCAGGTGTAGGTGAGGTTGTAGCGGACCATCGTCGACTCGTCGAGCCACCGGGTTGTCCGGGTACTTGCCATTGTCGAAGCCGTAGAACATCTGAAAATATAAAAATACACAGCAAAGAGAGAGAGAGAGAGAGAGAGAGAGATTTTCAAACAACCTACATTCAGTGAAACCTCGATGAGATTCATTATAGAGCGAGAAGAGCACGACGGTCGAGATCCGGTGAAAGCACGTTGTTCCGTGTACAAACAGCAGTCGATCCAGGTGGTGGAACTAGATAAAGGCATTAATAGATATTAACCAGTGCCATCCACTTACCTAGGAGATAGCAAAATCGGAGGCATTGGCAGCTTGGCTGCCCTCAACGCCCGTGATCCCCACACCAATATCGGCTTCTAAAATTGATAAACAATATTAAAAAAAACCATTTAATTTACCTGAATCATAGCCACATCATTAGCCCCATCGCCTACCGACAGCACGAGACCATCTACGTTGTTGCGGACGAGGCGCGTCACCGCGGCCTAGAATCTCGCCAGTACGAAAAATCCAACCAAAAACACAACCTTTTGAAATGGTGTACACCGACAGCAAATGACGGCCGAGCAGCACAGGGCAATCCGCAAAAAGTCCATGCGCATCGTCGACGACCCCATAAACCCGGTCCAAGCACTGAACAACATATTCGGCAAGTAACTTCTTTCTATTTGTTTAATTCTTCGTGTTTTTTCATCTTGAATCCCTTACCTGTGCATCAACAATCAACGCCAATTGCGCGTTTTCGCATCAAGCATCCGCTCGCCCACCATCCCCGACACATAGCTAGAAAATAGGGAATTTCTTTCTGTGAAACCCAAAACGCACCTATCGAGGAGGGCCTCTGTTTCCCGCTTCCGTGTTTCCGGTCGAGTGATTTTTGGGGTATCCTGGGAGAGAGAAGGGAGCAAGAGTGACCTAAAATTAATCCTCGTAAAAATCCTCATTCCCGGCCCGATATTGATCGCCGTTTCGAGTTTATCCCCAGTCAGCACCCAGACCTTCATTTCGGCCTGTAGCATACGGGCGATCGTTTCGGGGACTCGCTCAACCCGGAATTTGATTGAAAACTGTATCCTAACGTCCTGCAGCTTATCCCTCAATGGCGGAGGCGCCAAGCAGAAGGATCTCCTAAAAAGGTGGGTACTAGCGTTTATAAAAGACGGACGTGCTCCTTTGCCGCCACCGCCTCGATCAACTTCTCGCGGTTCTGCAGGTCTGCAGTTGGCCTTGTTCCACTCGTCGGCCCAGGTCCTAACGTCAAATCAGGGTACACGGTACGTCTATTTCTCCCACAGATATTCCTCCTCGGTGACGTCACGATATCCAAGCATAGGGTGCGATAGCCTAAAAAGGTTTTCAAGATCGTTGGTGATTTTACCAAGGTATTGGCAAAATTTTTGAGGTGCTCCTTCGTCATTTTCTCAATTTCCGGGTCGCTGTCTCGACTCAGCGTGGGCAGGATTTTGGCGTCCTGCAAAAGGGATATGTTGTTGATGATCAGACGATGGGATTCGAAAAACAACAAGTAACTGGAAAAGACTTACAGCCCTGATGAAAACTTGAGGCGCCCCTGCGGCGTCCGGAACCAAACCACAGCCTGTATCCGTTTCCGCGCTGACGTGAACTCGATGAGGGCCAGGATGCTGTAGGTGCGAGACTCGCCATCCTGCAATGATAAATGAAGCATATCCGCGAGTTGAGACTGCTCACGGCATCGATGGTGATCGTGTCGGGAGTGCGAGTTTTGAAGGTATAGCGGCAGTCACGAGCGAAACGGACCAAGCATCCCTCATCTAAATAAAATAGAGATATCAACTATACGTTTAGACAAAACCTTACAAATTAAAAAAACGTTTTGGTTACTAAAACTAACGAGTTTTCAAGCATTTTTCAACATTTTGAAGAAGGTTTTCTACCTTAAATCCAAATCTAATTTGCTAAAATCCATATAAAACGCAATTTTTAATCGGTAGGCCATCCTGGAGCCCTAGTAAAAAAATTTGACAATCATCCTTTATTTTTACCTGGAGAACAGGCGTGCCACTGCGTTCCCTTGGTTGAACGATGGCTTGACCGCACCGATATCGACGTTTCGCCCGGTCTTGGAGTTGAGGGCCTTAGCAAGAAGAATTTGCCTGTCAAATTTAGCCCAACCGCCTGTCCCTTCCGGCAACGACGGTGCGGCAGATCCCGCACGCCGTCAGGAAATTGTCGATCGCCTCCGCATTTCCCTAAACAGTAGAAAATGGAAAACCCATCAACGTAAGCCCACCCTTGTTATTGGTACGCAGCTCGCGCACCATTTTGCGCCCATCAAATTCCGGTGATTCCGACGCGACGCCGTAGCTTTTCTAAATTGATTGTAAAAAGGCGATGACTCCTTTTCGTACCCCTCCAATCGAGCAAAACTTGAAGTTCATCCGATTGGTGGTGAGCGTGCCCGTCTTGTCCGACATCACGTACTTCACCAATCCAGCGTTCGGGATCATGGCGAATGAGCGGACCTGACGATTAAGTCCGCTAAATAAGCACGTCAAACAAAGAACCCACTTCCGATTTTTGGTCGCGTTCTCCGTCGTAGAGATGCCAATATATCCTGCTTGATAAAATACGCCTGCCACATCAGACATCCTCGATCGTCACGCACAATGAGATGGGCACCAGATTTTATAGAAGAGGATCAGCTGGACCGAGGAAGGAAAAAGTGAAGAAGGCCCTGGTTGATGTAGCGATCTTCTGAAAAGAGCTTTTTATTGAAACTCATCTAAATTTCAAGTGAAAAAAAATTTAGAAAACACAAAAACATTTGAAACTCTTTGAAATTTTGCTTCAAAATGTGTAGTTCGTAACAAAACAAATTTTCGGAGTTTTTCATAAAACGCTTTTACGTAGAAAAATAGCAAAAACGGTCTAGAAACACCTCTTTGATTTTAGATAATGGGCTAGCTTCGATCCTACGGTATACAAGTTTGTTTCCGCCGAAAATCATCCCTTTGGAAGCAGAGCTTTAGAAAACGGGAGTTTTTTTCAGATTCTGGGGCTTTCCGCTTTACCCTTCATCTCAAAATCTCTACCCTTGTCCAGCCAGGTGTACATCCACTGGTCTGTATCGCCTAGGCGTGGCAGTCGCGCTTCTGGACTGCGAAGTGGATGCGGTTGAGCGCCGGGACGAGCTTGCATTTGTCCGGCCCACGCGTAGCCCATCGCTAGCAGGAGAAGCTGCATCCGGATTTGTGTCAACACCATCCAGTTGGTCAACCGGTGGACGCGAGACCTCAAATAGGATAAGTAGGCAAAAGTGGCGCTTACATTTTTGTGCTCTTTTTGACCGAATTCTGGGCAATCTTTGTATTTTTGCCGGCGTAGATGACGGCACCGAGCACCCAGTCGGTATTTGGCAGCGTTGCGCCCTCCCGGATCACGAGAGTAGCCCAGCCACCTAAAAAGGGATTGACTGTAAAGTAGAAGCCCCACTAATCGACACATCCTGACGTTCAGCTTTGTGAGAATCGGGGTTGAGATTGTTCTTCTCTAAAACATAGAAAGACGTTTTAGCAGGAAATGAAACAAACTTCAGGTCGGCGATGAGATGGGGCGAAAGTTTCAAAACTCCTTGGAAATGATCGAGGGCTCGCGACGGCGGTTCGCACGCAACCATAGGGGCAGATTCGAAAAATGTCTAAAATATCGTTTCAAAACAACAAAACCATCTTCAACCTTAACTCGTTCTTCTGAATGTACACCCATCGTCCCCCCCCCCCCCTCCGGACCTTCAGATTGGCCTCGCCGTCGAGATTCGCTGTTTCCATGTAGAGAGACGCCCCGCCCAGTTCCGGGAAGAGCTGCAACACGGAAGTTTTGGGGCACCTGATCCAACTCGCCGCAAGCTCCAAAATATACCTTAAAATCAGCAAATCGGCGGGCACCATGTCGCCTTTTGTCAGTCGCACAATGTGGCCTTCCTCGAGCTGTAAAAATGAAATTAGACAAAAGGTAAAACTGGTGGAAAGTACCATTTTCCCATTGTGTCCTTATCCAGGTCTCCGAGGCCCCATCAAACACTTCAACCTCTGTATTGTTCAATCGCGTATCGGCAAAGCGTCGAATCTACAACCATTTGGGGGGGGGGGGGGAAAAAAAAAAAAAAAAAAAAAAGGGGACCCATCCAATCGGTTTCAGTAATGAAATACACACCTTATATATAGCATACGCCGTTTTTACGTATTTTTTGTTAAAATAAATTCCCAATTATTAATTTTTATGACTTTCTAAGTCGAAAAATCACTAAAAACACGATAAAAAGCTCAAAAATTTTGCTAAGCCGCCAACGTCCCCCGCTAAGAGAGCAGTTCCAAATCTTCTAACCCCAAATCTCACCAAATCCTCGTAGATCTCGGTGAATGCGTTGACGAGGATGATGATGATCAACGGGACTCCGGAGGGAATGCCACGGAACTGCCGAGACCCCGGGCAACAACTAAAGCACAAGAATCTGAGTCAATTTCCTGACAATTTCAGACCTTTACAAGGGTGAGCATTTAGAAAAAGGCGTTGGTCGGCTCGAGGAACTTGGCCACCAAGAATCACAGCACAAAGTCGAACGCTTTTTTTTGTACTTGGTGGTGTTGAGTTTGTTGTTGGCGGATCGCTTGCTGGGGGCGCCGATGATGACTTCATGGTTCGTTTCCGGAGGCCGTCGACATTTCTTAATTTAGTTAGCTTTTTGTTAAACCCCGAAAAACCTGTATGAAGGCGAACATCTATCAGAAGAAGAACAAAAAGCTTGTCTGTATTTTCGGCTCGCTGTCATTTATGCAAATTTTGGCAAGCTATCGGCCCATTCAAAGCTTCAAAGTACTTGTTTGTTAACGGGCCGACTAACTTTTGGCATATCGCCCGGTATGGTCACAATAATCAATCGCCACCATTTAATTAGCATTTTACGCCGTTTTTATTTTTTTATTCTTGATTAATAATCAAAAAAATTCTAGAACTTACTAAAATGTTCTAAATTTTTTGATTAATGGTAAAAGATGTATAAAAATGCTCAAAAATTTTCTAAAATATGGTTTTTCTAATTTTTAACGTGTTTAAAAATTGAAAACTGGTTTTTATGGCATTTTCGCGATCAAAATACGAAAACGCCATAAATGACTCTGAAAAGTCTGTAAACGCCAGGTAGGTCCCCCAAAAGTTTCCCCCGCTAACAGTACAGTACCGTCAACAAGGTTTCTTCCTGTAAATACATTTCACAGATCACTCCATTCACGGTATTACCGTAACGCCCTACTTCCTGGTCCCAGCGCGAAAATCCTTTCGCATTCGTCAATGTTGGGTTATCTCGGCTTCTTCCTCTCTGTTTCTTCCATATCTATCCGAGCAACCCGGCTGTAAAATGGCCCCCACCTGTTTAATGTCCGGTCTCCCGAAATTTGCCATCTATCACCCCATCAATTTTCCACTGTTTTTCCCGTAAACGACCTTTCCGAGTGGCGTCATTTTTTTTTGATAAAAAATACGGTAAGTTTTTATTGGAAATTTATACAATTTAAAACCTCTAGAAAATGCGTGAACTGATGCTTCTGCTGTTAATCTCCAGCCGTATTCTCTCGATGGTCATCCCTTCCGGCTCTGAATATTTTTG